TGCAGAGTTCTGTTTGTGTAAATCTCTGTGTAAATACAAGCTAAGCTGTCTTCTGGTTAGTTATGGCCATATATGTGTGTTACCCATCTACTACGAGAATGCGTTTGGTTCACTTTTATTGCACATGTCATACTTATATACTTTATTTTTGTTTTGTTTTCTGGCTTTATCTGAGTAAATATTTCCACATGTGTACACTTGAATATTCAGGATTTTTCTGTGTGTTTTCCTCTCACTAATTTACACCAGTGGCCCAATATTTTCATCTGGCACTGCATGCACCTGTGTTAATAACCTGCACCTGTATTAATAACATTGCTCAAAACAAATATTAATTAGTTAAGCTCTTAATCAAAAATATTGAAGTTTAGCTGTGTGTTGAGCTTAAAATATATTAATCGAAAAACAAAACAAATAAAATTAGATTAAAAGGAAAGAATCATTTTTAATTGAATGAAGTTCTGCTTGAAAGTATTTTCAGCGGAATCTAAATAAACCGTGCTGGTTTTTGCCTGTTTGCATGTACGTAACATAGTAAACAATGTAAACAAAAGGCCTTCGAAAGAAACGGTGACATAAACATATGAATAACCATCCATAATTCAACACCCTTGTGCTGCAGGTCTAAATGTGCTTCATGACGTGTTGTTCAATTTCCCCTTACCTTTCAAAATAAACCGCGATGTACAGCAATGAGCGCGTGTGTGTGTTGTTATTATGAGGATAAATGTGTGTACTGTCTTCCTCACACACATTTAGCAAATCCATTCTGCATCAGCTTTACATTAAAAACAATCAGCTGTAATGACGGCTTGGGGGATGTGGCTTTATACTGATCATTAGTTTGTCAAGACTATGGTCTTTTTGGTGTAATCTATTCGTAAACACTGACATGTTCAGAAACAGCTCCCCCGTGCATCCACGTCCTGACACAGACTAAGAGTTTACAGTACATAAGTCTATCAGAAATGAATATGAATTCGGCTCCTGCTCCACTCCGTTTGTGCCACCAGAGGGAGCCATCGCCTGAATTTCAGCAGTTTGGTATCCATTTCCTACAATCCATCATACCTGGGACTACACACACACCTGCACACAATAATCTACAGTGATTATTACTGACACTACAAAAGCAGCACACTTGCACACACTCACTGTAAAGTCTTGTCTCTGCCAGCAGTTCTGAGCATGATGCCCTGCCCGATCCTCTGAGTTTGACCCTGGACAAGTGGTGGGCAAAGCGAGGCTTCATGAAACAGTGGAAGCAGAAGCAAGTGTGTTGAAGCTTCAAACCTGTTTCTACAGCGACACCTGGTGGTAATTTAATCTGTTGCTCTGGAACAGCTTCAGCAGAGAAACAGTTGTGCAACTGGTCTGAGGTATTGAAGCCCGCCCTGTAGATCTGAGGATTGAAGTGTGTTAGTGGAGCTGTGAGAGTTCCAGACGCGCATGCAGAGATACTGGGTTCAAACCCAGGGTGATGCAGTATTAGATCCTACTCCACTTCTCTTTTCTTTTGTTATTAATTCCGGAGGACAAACTTGCAAATAACAGTTTTTCTCCGGTCTAGTTCTGATAGGAGCACCTCGCATTCACATTCTGTCAAGTTTGCTTTTCCGTTTGGTTTTGCCAAAGTGGAGTCATCACCATATTGATATGTTGTCTCTGAACTCAATAAGCAGCTGTTTAACTTCAGTCCTGCAGACCTGATGAACACACAGCGCAGTATTGGTCAGTGATGTGATCTGGAATCATGTGTCTGCTGTAATGTGTGGATGTGGAGGCTGAAGCATTCGAGCGTCAGGTTTTATCCGTCAGCCTGCTGTATATTCAGATATTATGCAACTTGTCAACAGCTGTATCTTTGCTAGTCTCTTTGCTTTTGATTTTTAACTGGTTGGATCTGTCCCTTTATCTCTCTTTCTTATTAAAATCAACACAGAAATGCAAACTGTTGATGCATAATGAGGGACATTGTGATATTTAAAGATTGATCTTTGTCGATGTGTTTTTGTGCGTATAGCCTCAAACGCTGATCTATATTAACTCATTTCTGTCGGTTATTTTAGCTTTACGCTTCTGCTATTCTGTGTATTTTTGTTCTGTTGTAAAATGTTATCAGAAATGTTTTCAATCTTCCTGTTTTAATGCACAACAGCTCGAATCTCATAATACAATGAGAGCACAATAGCCTATAAGACATTATGAAATGTAAACGTTAATCTTATTATTAGCCAGGTTTATGTGGAGATTGAGCTGTGTGCAGTAGAATAAGACTAAACCTTTCAGCCTAATGCAGTTTTCATTGATTTATAATGTGTTTCAGCATTAAATCACAGGAGATATGAGGCCGGCAGGTGTTTATTTCAGCTTTAATGAGTGATCAGAGTAACTGACAGTGTTGATCAGTAAACATTCCTTCATCTGCAGCTCTGTGCGCTTCAGCTCCTCCAGATGAAGCCGGTTCGGGTTTCAGTGTGTTCTGCTGGGTCATTGAGGATTGACGCTTTTCTGTTCTGTTCAGAATATGCGGGAAATGCGGCAGACCTGCAGATATATTCAAACACACAGAGAAACTCAAATCTACTGTTGTTGGAGCTTCAGCCAATCACGGTAAAGCCAGTCCGCCTCTGGCCAATCAGATAATCGCTTCAGCGACGCTAGCGTCTTCTGGGCAGGGCTACAGTCTGGAGGACACGCCCCAGAGTTTGAGGAAAACTTGTGCAGCAGTTTGAGGAAGATCACCTGAGAAAGCGGAACCGATCAATAAACCGATCAGTGAAACACAGATCGATGGCTTTGATTCAAACCGACCACAACGGCACGCGGAACGGGCTAATCAATAGTCTGCACGGCGGCGTCAGGACAGACTGCACGGTTCCCGACGCGGCGCTGCCCCGAGCGTTCCTCCACAGTCTGCGGACGTTATTCGACATTCTGGACGATCAACGGCGCGGGTTTGTTCACCTGTCGGAGATCGAGAGCCGGTGGCGCGGCGCGGGGGAGCGGGATCTGCCCGCGGGGGTTCTGGAGAGTCTGCGTCGGGTCGCGCCGGTTAACGGCTGCCTGTCCTTCGAGCGGTTCGTCGCGGGACTCAGAAACTCCATGTTCGTCCCGGAGACCGGCAGCAGACCGGCAGAGCACCCGCAGTGGAGAACCGAGGACGGGAGAGTCCGGCCGCTGGGCCAGAGTAACTTAGTAAACACGCTCCACAACCGGCAGCCCGGAAGGGGCCGACCTCGGGAGAGCTCAGCCTTCACGGATAAACACGCCGTTTCTTCCCGTTACTCCGCCTTTCCGGTCGCGTCGCGGAGCTGCGGAGTGACGGAGAGTTCATATCGATCCGGACAGGACCCGCTTCAGCCCCGACCCACCGACCCACCGAAACACCCCGAGCAGAGAAACGGTGAGTGTTAAACACCGAGCAGAGGTTTGATGATCACCGAGAGCTTCTGCCGGTAATCTACTGCCGGTGCTGGAGTTTAACGCGCGGATTAAGCATACCGAGAGATCTGTGTGTGTGTGTGTGTGTGTGTGTGTGTGTGTGTGTGTGTGTGTGTGTGTGTGTGTGTGTGTGTGTCAGTCTGGCCGCTGTCAGCAGTGTATGTCCACGTGTTATTCTTCAGCAACTCCTGATCTACAGCACAGCAGCGCGGACTCACCGGGAAGACGCAATAACAATGGCGCTCGGGAACGGTGAAGAGATCGCGGCAGCTGTGGAGTAACCGTAGAGTTTCCGCTGTTTAACCGGTGCTGCTCGTGTTGTTGTGCTTGTAGAGCGCCATATTGGAATTACACTTTAACCTCTGACGCGCTACGGCAAGCGAGAAGGATAATCCGCTTCCTCCTCCTCCTCCTCCTCCTCCTCCTTCTTCTTCTTCTTCTTCAGATTAAATGGCGAGTTCCAATGTGACTCAATATCGCCACACGTCGTGCTGG